ACACCGAATGAAATCTTAAGTTTACAGGCGCAGTTCTCACACGTGATCAAACTTCAGACATCCTCACCGTTCAACGGACACGACTTCTTTACCTGGAGCTTCGAGTTCGAGCTGCTGATGGAGGCCGCGCATCTTCTGGGATACTTCAACGGGTCCCTGCCATTCCCAAGCAACGGCACTGGGAAGGAACAAGAGATCTTCACGTATCAGTCGCTGCTGGCGTACACGGTACTCCTGAGAAACCTGTCACCACAAGAGCAGCAGAGCATCAGAACGTATCGGAGTTATGGAAACTCCGCGGAGCTCGCATGGCACCACCTCAAATGCCTTTACCAAGCAAACGACAGCGTGACACAAAGCAGACTCATGCAACAGCTGACAACAATACAGATGAAGACCGGGGAAAAGGCGATGCAGTATATGAGTCGCTGCCAGACCCTCCGCGACCGCCTGCTTCGGTGCGGAGGAACGATCACTGAAGAAAGCTTCGTGACACTTGTCCTCGCCGGGCTCGGGCCAGAATGGAGAACCACACGATCACTTCTTCGAGCCCACGGAAGAATTTCGGAGATGCACCTCTGCGCCGAGCTTCACGCTGAACAACAGGAGATGGATCTGTTCGAGGAAAGACAACCAAGGAAGCAACAGCAGTTAGTCTTCTACACTCAAAGAAGAAATGACAACAACTACAACCGACGCAGCAAGCAAGATCAATGCGACAACCGAGGACTCACCATCGTGCCGCCGTTCTGCCACAATTGTCAGACTTCCGGGCACTCCAAAGTCAACTGCAACCGCCCTCGCGTTTACCGTGCAGCAGACCCACAAGTCACTTCCACTCAAGCAAGTCCTCCAAGGCGCTCTTCAACATCTGCACAACAAACACCCAACATCATCAACTGCATGGTACACATCGACAACTGCGCACCCGGTTCACCACCCACTTACGCACCAGACGAAGAAGAATTCTCGCCGCCGCGCTCGCAAGGACTTCAGGTCAACCCGACATACGCTGCAGTCGCCAACGCCGAACCCACCGGGCGAAACACCTGGTTCTTGGACAGTTGCTGCGGTCAGCACATGTGCTCCTCCGGACGCTTCGTACAACACGAGCGACGCCTCAACCGTGACGTCGTCATCACCGTCGCCAACAACGAAAACCTGAAAACAAATAGACAAGGCGTGGTTCAGTTACAATCAATGGAGACAAACGTTATTCTTCAGCTCAACAAGGTCCTCATCGTCGACAATCTGGGATACAACCTATTAAGCGTAAGCCAACTAATGGCTAAGGGGATTCACCTGGAGTGCGACTCCTTCTCCAACGAGTTCCGACTTTACCACGGGAAGGGCGGTCTCTTCATCGGTCGTGCCCTCCTGAAGTCCGGTGTCTTCGTGTTGGACTTCGTCCCCGACCGCGGAACTGCCGACAGCGATGGCATCGTATCGTTCGCCGCCTGGACTCACCCGCCGGATCTTGATCCCGACTTCGACAGTGACGGCTTCTGGCACTCCAACACCATACCTGCAGCAGAGAGAACACGAGCATTAGCAGTTATCAGACAAGAAAGACAAGTACCCGCAAGTGTCCCAACAAAACCATCACCTGCAGTATCGGCAGCAGGACCCAGCCGAGTACCACCACCATCAACACGAGGATCGCCAACGGAAGCAGACCAACTTATGCCCGCCACACGAGAAGCTTGTCGAAGTCCCGCCTCAGTCGTCGCGTTCTTATCCAACGCCGACATCTACCACCGCTCGCCCGGTCACCGTGCTCCCGACGACATCTGGCACCAACGCCTCGGACACCCTGCAAACAGCACAATACTTCAAACAATCCAAGCAGAGGTGTTAGAACGCAACGCCCTTCTGACGACGAGCGGTCAAGAACTTCGACGACCACGAGCACGGTGCTTCACATGCCCCGAAGCAGATCTTCCTCATCAACCTTTCCCAGCCCATCACAATCCAAGCGCACCCACTTACGCTCCGATGGAAAAGGTCTACAGCGATATTCTAAACATGCCTCGAGACGACACCGAAGCCGACTTCAACTACGTCATCACGTTCATCGACGCCGCAACCAGATACGTCTGGCACTTCAATCTCAAAACGCGCGATCAAGCCTTCGAGGCCTTCACCACATGGCTTCCAATCGCCGAACGAGAGTCAGGAACCAAACTCAAGAGTTTCCAGTCAGACGGTGCACTGGAATACCAGTCACAACGATTCAGGACCTATCTCGCGGAAAGGGGAATCCGACGCCTGGTGTCTCTGCCCTATGCTCACCAGCAGCAGGGGGTAGCAGAACGCATGAACCGGACCTTGCAGACGACGATGCGAAAACTGCTTCTGGGGATGAGGCTGCCCAACGCACTGTGGCCAGACGCGATGACACATGCTGTTCACCTGCACAACCTGCTGTCCTCGTCATCACTTCCCAACAACGCATCGCCGCACCTGTTGTGGACAAGAAAAAGGGGCAGCACAAAATTACTCCGCGTTTTCGGCTGCATGGTACAGTACAGACCCCACACAGCCCGAGCAGGACGCTTCTCACAAAGAGCTCGATGGGGACTACACCTCGGCATCGCAAAACATTTTCACGCGTGGAAAATTCTCGACATACAAGACAAAAACACGGTGGCATCACGCGATGTTATCTTCTACGAACGACTGACGCTGCAGCATTACCTGGACAACCTTGCCAACACACAAGACCCCACCGACGGCTTCGCGGGCCTTCGCTCCTTCGCTGACCACACTGCCGAGGCTGACGCAGCAGAAGAAGACGTACCTGGAGCCTCGGAAGCTGCCGGACCACTCCCATTCTGTTCCGTACCTGTTCCACTCGATGAAGATAATCCCCTCGATAGCAACAACCTCGACACCTTTTACCACTTCGCCGACCAAGGTTACACTACACCTCACCCCGTCGACACGAATATTTCGGAACGCATCGGCCCCAATTTCTTACCTGACCCCGAAGACGGTGACGAAGCAGCTTATTCCGGGAATGAAAATTCCCCTCGACACACGCCCACGGGACTCCAGATTCTAGGCCTCTGGGTCTCCGTCCAGAATCCGCCGCCGCCTTCTCCGCGAGAGCCTTCAACGTTGTCGCAGGCTCTGGGAGGGGAACATAAGGCAAGATGGAAGGAAGCAATGGAAAAGGAGTTAAAAGCTCTGCAAGACCGAGAAACGTGGAAACTGGTACCTGCAACGAGCATCAACGGAAAAAACGTTCTCTCGGGGAAATGGGTGTACCGCATCAAGACCAACTCAGACGGTTCCGTCGAACGATTCAAAGCTCGATGGGTCGTACGAGGCTTCGACCAACGATACGGAGCCGACTACACAGAAACCTTCGCTCCAGTCTCCCGTCACACCTCATTACGCATCCTACTCGCCGTCGCGGCCACGAAAAAACTGCCACTACGCCAAATCGATGTCGCGAATGCGTTCCTATACGCACCTGTGGACGCTGAGATCTTCGTCGAACAACCCCACGGATTCATCGACGACCCCACGAAAATATGCCGACTGACAAAATCCCTATACGGGATCAAGCAAGCCCCGCGGCTCTGGCAGCAGCATCTTCACAGCCGTCTCGTAAAAATCGGCTTCCTACAGCTACCACATGACCAAGGCATGTACCGACTGCAGAAGGGAAGAGATTACATTCTGCTCATCGTCTACGTCGACGACCTGCTCTACATCGGTTCTACCACCGACATCGTCACCCGGTTCGAAGGGGAGCTGAAAGGGGACCTGACGCTCACAGTGTCCGACTCAGTAACCCAGTACTTGGGGCTAAATATCGTCGAAGACAACTCGGCGTTCTACCTACACGCTGGAAAGTACGCAGGTACTGTCGCGAAGAAATTCGGACTAACACCGGCTACCGCCTCAACTCCCTACCGCTACGGAAACAACAACAGCGCCTCCGCAAAACTCCCCGCGAAGCAAATCCAGGAGTACCAACAGAAGCTCGGCTGCCTACTATTTGCAGCAGTAACCTGCCGACCCGACCTGTCCTATAGTGCAAGTCAACTGGCGACGCATCTGAAGCAACCGGAACAGGAGGATCTCGAGGAGCTCAACCGGGCACTACTCTACTTCATCTCCACGCCGACGATCGGACTTACCTACAGCAAAGCTACAACATCGTCCGTACAACTACTCGGATACGTCGACGCCGACCACGCGGGAGATAGGGAAAATCGACGATCTAGGACGGGCTACATCTACCGACTAGAACCCGTCGGAACTATCTCCTGGCAGTCGAGCAAGCAGGAGTTAATCGCACTATCCTCTGCTGAAGCAGAGTACATCGCCCTTTGTACCGCGACCAAGGAAGGACTCTACCTGCGAGAGTTACTCGAGGAAGCGAAGATCGCGACCCTGCCCGCCTTCTCACTCTTCTGCGACAACCAATCTGCGATCAAAATCGCAAACAAGGACGGCTTCGCCAACCGAACCAAGCACATCGCCCTGCGGTACTTCTTCGTCAAGGATGAAATCGCGAAGGGGAGACTTCAACTCAGTTACTGCCCGACGACAGAAATGGCCGCAGACTATTTGACGAAGAAATTGGCGAAGGCAAAATTCGACTACTGCATGGTGCTGACCGGACAAACAAACGTCATCGGACCTGAACAAGTCAGCACTCCAGAAACGAAGGGGAGTGTTGAAAGTACATCAAAAGACTTAAGCGTTTCTGAAGTGTAACACTACACTCGAGGAAGATTGCAAGGGGTACGCGAGTCAACGGAGGTTACACAAGGGGGCGGACAAAGAACACGAAGGGTCTGGGACTCAAAGGGTCGCAACTGGAGGTTGCGACTGACCGTTACAGCATCACGGATGGTAACCGAAGCGGCAATCGAGTCGCTATGCGACTCGATAAACCGTTCCTGTAACTGTACTCTGCAACTGCTTTCTTATCTTCTATATATTGCTGTATGCTTGTTTCTTTAATCAATCACTTGTTCTCACATACTAGTACAAGGGTTCAACTGCCTCAACTTCCGCTGCACTACTCCAAGTCTCAAGTCTCTACAGCTGGGACTTAGTCTCTGCAAAAGATCCTAAGGGCTTTTCTCAGCCCAACAACAACCACCCTCTACCCTCCTTTTTGAATGGCTTGTGGATACAGCATCTTCTCACCACCCAGCTCTACCACCATTTTGCTTATCGGCGCCTTCCCTCTGGGGGCCGTGAACAAGAGGCGCAACAAGCTCTCTACGACATCTGGGGCAAAGACACGATAGTAGAGGAACGTGGTATACCACGACGGCACCCGCACATAGCGCTGGCGACGCAAGGCGCCATTCACAATAGCAGACGCACACCACGAAGTGGCCTCCACTGGAAATGGGCCCACATGTGCCTGGCAGGGGGACCGGGGCGGGGCAAGCAATGATAGCACAAAGAGCATGCACACCCAGTCGGAAGTAAAAACCTCCCCTGCGAACTTATCTAACAGTCCAGTGATCCATCCACTTACGTCTCTCTGTTCCTTGTCCCACGACACCCTCCCTTCAGCCGTGACGAATTTGCCAGCCGTCATTTCACTCTCCGTCCATCCCAGCGTGGCGACAGTGATGCCCACCTCATCGCCCACCTCCACGCGCAGTGTGTCGAAGAAGTTCACCAGCGCCACCTTCGACGCCTGCCCACACACGCACACCCACCCCCAGGAGCATCAAGGCTGACAAAAGAGGTAGCAGCAAAACTATAGCATGCACATCATATCACGAAAGGCAAGCAGGGCAGCAGTTACATTGTAAATGGCCATGCGCGGGTACGGGATGAAGGACGCCACGGACGACGTGACCACGATGTGGCCTTGAGAGCGCCGCAGATGCGGCAGTGCGTAGAACGTCGGGTATATGGCGCCCCAGAAATTCACGTCCTGCGCCACACACACACACACAGCTTCTGAGCAAGTAAGAATCAGAATGAGCAAGCGCGCGGCGCAAGGCGGTTGTAGCGCTCACCATGACCTGCGCGACTTCCGTGTTCCTAGCCTCCTCCATGTAGAAGCTGTGCGCCATGCCCGCGTTGTTGAACAGATGGTCCACTGCCACGCATCACATCCCACAACGCCACCGCACACACAAACCCACACACGCGGAAAGAGATTCCGCCACCGTCACGTCCACCAGCGCCACACGAAAAGAGGCCATTCACTTGAGCACTAGGCACAGGCGGAAGGAGCGGTTGGCGGCGTGAGGCGGTGCAGCACTCACGGCGTCCGAAGGCGGCGATGGTATCACTGACGAGCTTCTCGCACTCGGCCGCCACCGTCACGTCCACCAGCGCCACGCGCGCCTCTGCGCCCTCCAGCTTGCACATGTCCGCCGTGCGCCGAAGCTCCTCCTCCCGCCGCCCCGCCAGCACCAACCGCGCGCCCTTCTGCGCATACACCCGAGCTGCCTCCTGCGAAAAGGGAAATCGCGAGTATGCGGGTGGTGGGATTGGGACCGAAACGGAATAGGCATGCCATGGAGCGGACGGGCGCTCATCCCTATAACACACGCAGCAAGACAGGAGTGGGAAGGGAGTCGGCGAGAGTGGGACCTGGCCGATGCCCGATGACGCGCCCGTGATGATGACGACCTTGCCCCTCACGTCCTCGGGGAAGAAAAGGCCATAGGCCCACGACGCAAAGCGCATGGCCGCAACCAAGGGCGCGATGAAGAAGAGGAACGCAATGCTGACGGGCAGCAGGGTGAAGTCGAGAAGCAGGTGAACGATCTCCATGGCGACCAAGCTCGTCTCGCACGCAGCAGCTGCAACGACAGAATGCCCAGACCAGGGACGGCAAAGAACCGAATGCCACCATCGCTAGCACGCGCGACTATCATTTACACCGATACTTCCCTCCGTTGTTGAGTCGAATCGCGAGACACATAACCCCTCGTTGCTTGATGCCACTTGGTAGTGCAGGACTAAGCGGCGGCACGAGGCAAGCACAGCAGGCAAACACGTGCCTGGGCTGCATGTCGGGCTGGGGGATCGAGGGAGCGGAATCTCGAGCAAGGGGTGGGCACTGCATGTTCAGGAGGGCGTGGTACATGGGTTGCGCTTTGCCTCGAAACCGCAACCTGGACTGGCGAAAACCCCAACCAAACCCAACCAAAATCCGCTCAACCCATTTTTCACACGCCAAGCGAGATTGGCGAGTCCAGTAACCAGACTGGGTTGCGCCACTTCGATGGGTTCTGCAACCCATGTACCAAGGGTTCAGTAGCTGGGTGGAATCACTGGCAGGTGGAGCTGAAACCAATTCCATTCCCATACTTCATGAGTCTTCCACAAAAATGAGCCAAGGTACTCAAGTTTAAAGCGAGCGGACAGACCAAACTCAAGACTCAAAGGTTTTGAGTTGTACTACACGCGAAAACGGGCGCGACAGAAACACGGTAACCAAATACACACCCGAGGGGTGCGATTTTGAGATCGGGGAGAGGTGACGTGCTATGCGACGCCTGTCCCAACCCAGCGACGGAACAAGCAAAGCCTTTCCACCCGCCACACCAAGATCCAAAGCTTTTGCTTTTTACTCTGTACTCAGTGGCAATGGCTCCTTCCCGCCATTCTCGCTCGCGAACACAGTGCTTACCTACCATGTCAGTAGAAAAATGTGCGTCTCTGGTAGCGGAACCAAGTTCCAGTAACACTAACAACTACTTCGTACCAAATCGCGCCCCCGCGCAGCATGCTAGTCCCGAACCAGCACGCAACACAAGCACTCCAGGGCGCGCTACGGAAAGACCTGAACAGCTATATCCTCGCCAGCGCCAATCCCGCCCTAACGCTGCGCCAATCCCGCCATAACGCTGCGCCAATCCCGCCCTAACGCTGCGCCAATCCCGCCCTAACGCTGCGCCGATCCCGCCCTAACGCAGCGCCGATCCCGCCCTAACGCAGCGCCAATCCCGCCCTAACGCAGCGCCAATCCCGCCCTTACGCAGCGCCAATCCCTCGCTAGCCCAGCGCCAATCCCTCGCTAGCCCGACGCGTCACACCACATAGTACCCCGCTCTGCGACGCGCTTGCCCTGTCCGCCTCTCTCCCATGGTCCCCTTTCCCATGGTCCCCTCTCCCATGCTCCTGGCAGGAAGGGGGGATTGCTTCCATGCTACGGAAGGGGGAGAAGCAGGAAAGTGGAAGGGGGGGAAGCAGGGCAGTGGAAGGGGGGAAGCAGGGCAGTGGAAGGGGGGGGAAGCAGGGCAGTGGAAGGGGGGGAAGCCGGGCAGTGGAAGGGGGAGAAGCAGGGCAGTGGAAGGGGGGGAAGCAGGGCAGTGGAAGGGGGGGGAAGCAGGGCAGTGGAAGGGGGGGAAGCAGGGCAGTGGAAGGGGGGGAAGCAGGGCAGTGGAAGGCGGGGAAGCAGGGCAGTGGAAGGGGGGGAAGCAGGGAAGTGGAAGGGGGGGAAGCAGGGCTGTGGAAGGGGGGAAGCAGGGCTGTGGAAGGGGGGGAAGCAGGGCAGTGGAAGGGGGGGAAGCCGGGCAGTGGAAGGGGGGGAAGCAGGGCAGTGGAAGGGGGGGAAGCCAGGCAGTGGAAGGCGGGGAAGCAGGGCAGTGGAAGGGGGGAAGGAGGGCAGTGGAAGGGGGGGAAGCAGGGAAGTGGAAGGGGGGGAAGCAGGGCAGTGGGAGGGGGGGAAGCAGGGAAGTGGAAGGGGGGGAAGCAGGGCAATGAAAGGGGGGGAGCATGGCAGTGGAAGGGGGGGAAGCAGGGCAGTGGAAGGGGGGGAAGCAGGGCAGTGGAAGGGGGGGAAGCCGGGCAGTGGAAGGGGGGGAAGCCAGGCAGTGGAAGGCGGGGAAGCAGGGCAGTGGAAGGGGGGGAAGGAGGGCAGTGGAAGGGGGGAAGCAGGGCAGTGGGAGGGGGGAAGCAGGGAAGTGGAAGGGGGGAAGAAAAAAGGGCAATGAAAGGGGGGGAAGCATGGCAGTGGAAGGGGGGGAAGCAGGGCAGTGGAAGGGGGGGAAGCCAGGCAGTGGAATGGGGGGAAGCAGGGCAGTGGAAGGGGGGAAGGAGGACAGTGGAAGGGGGAAGCAGGGAAGTGGAAGGGGGGGAAGCAGGGCAGTGGGAGGGGGGGAAGCAGGGAAGTGGAAGGGGGGGAAGCAGGGCAATGAAAGGGGGGGAAGCATGGCAGTGGAAGGGGGGAAGCAGGGCAGTGGAAGGGGGGAAGCAGGGCAGTGGAAGGGGGGAAGCCGGGCAGTGGAAGGGGGGGAAGCCAGGCAGTGGAAGGCGGGGAAGCAGGGCAGTGGAAGGGGGGGAAGGAGGGCAGTGGAAGGGGGGGAAGCAGGGCAGTGGGAGGGGGGAAGCAGGGAAGTGGAAGGGGGGGAAGCAGGGCAATGAAAGGGGGGAAGCATGGCAGTGGAAGGGGGGGAAGCAGGGCAGTGGAAGGGGGGGAAGCCAGGCAGTGGAATGGGGGGAAGCAGGGCAGTGGAAGGGGGGGAAGGAGGGCAGTGGAAGGGGGGAAGCAGGGAAGTGGAAGGGGGGAAGCAGGGCAGTGGGAGGGGGGAAGCAGGGAAGTGGAAGGGGGGGAAGCCAGGCAGTGGAAGGGGGGGAAGCAGGGCAGTGGAAGGGGGGGAAGCAGGGCAGTGGAAGGGGGGGAAGCAGGGCAGTGGAAGGGGGGGAAGCCGGGCAGTGGAAGGGGGGGAAGCAGGGCAGTGGGAGGGGGGGAAGCAGGGAAGTGGAAGGGGGGAAGCAGGGCAGTGGAAGGGGGGAAGCAGGGAAGTGGAAGGGGGGGAAGCAGGGCAGTGGGAGGGGGGGAAGCAGGGAAGTGGAAGGGGGGGAAGCAGGGCAATGAAAGGGGGGAAGCATGGAAGTGGAAGGGGGGGAAGCAGGGCAGTGGGAGGGGGGAAGCAGGGAAGTGGAAGGGGGGAAGCAGGGCAATGAAAGGGGGGAAGCATGGCAGTGGAAGGGGGGAAGCAGGGCAGTGGAAGGGGGGGAAGCAGGGCAGTGGAAGGGGGGGAAGCCGGGCAGTGGAAGGGGGGAAGCCACGCAGTGGAAGGCGGGGGAAGCAGGGCAGTGGAAGGGGGGGAAGGAGGGAAGTGGAAGGGGGGAAGCAGGGCAGTGGGAGGGGGGGAAGCAGGGAAGTGGAAGGGGGGGAAGCAGGGCAGTGGAAGGGGGGGAAGCAGGGAAGTGGAAGGGGGTACATCGAGGTGCAGCATCGCGCGAGCGCGACGAGATAGGGCGGTGAAGCATTGTTGGAGGAGGACGTAAGGCAGTGGGAGGGGGGGAAGCAGGGAAGTGGAAGGGGGGGAAGCAGGGCAATGAAAGGGGGGGAAGCATGGAAGTGGAAGGGGGGGAAGCAGGGCAGTGGGAGGGGGGAAGCAGGGAAGTGGAAGGGGGGGAAGCAGGGCAATGAAAGGGGGGGAAGCATGGCAGTGGAAGGGGGGAAGCAGGGCAGTGAAAGGGGGGGAAGCAGGGCAGTGGAAGGGGGGGAAGGAGGGCAGTGGAAGGGGGGAAGCAGGGAAGTGGAAGGGGGGAAGCAGGGCAGTGGGAGGGGGGGAAGCAGGGAAGTGGAAGGGGGGAAGCCAGGCAGTGGAAGGGGGGGAAGCAGGGCAGTGGAAGGGGGGGAAGCAGGGCAGTGGAAGGGGGGAAGCAGGGCAGTGGAAGGGGGGGAAGCCGGGCAGTGGAAGGGGGGGAAGCAGGGCAGTGGGAGGGGGGGAAGCAGGGAAGTGGAAGGGGGGAAGCAGGGCAGTGGAAGGGGGGGAAGCAGGGAAGTGGAAGGGGGGGAAGCAGGGCAGTGGGAGGGGGGAAGCAGGGAAGTGGAAAGGGGGGAAGCAGGGCAATGAAAGGGGGGGAAGCATGGAAGTGGAAGGGGGGGAAGCAGGGCAGTGGGAGGGGGGGAAGCAGGGAATGGAAGGGGGGAAGCAGGGCAATGAAAGGGGGGAAGCATGGCAGTGGAAGGGGGGGAAGCAGGGCAGTGGAAGGGGGGGAAGCAGGGCAGTGGAAGGGGGGAAGCCGGGCAGTGGAAGGGGGGGAAGCAGGCAGTGGAAGGCGGGGAAGCAGGGCAGTGGAAGGGGGGGAAGGAGGGCAGTGGAAGGGGGGGAAGCAGGGCAGTGGGAGGGGGGAAGCAGGGAAGTGGAAGGGGGGGAAGCAGGGCAATGAAAGGGGGGGAAGCATGGCAGTGGAAGGGGGGAAGCAGGGCAGTGGAAGGGGGGGAAGCCAGGCAGTGGAATGGGGGGAAGCAGGGCAGTGGAAGGGGGGAAGGAGGGCAGTGGAAGGGGGGAAGCAGGGAAGTGGAAGGGGGGGAAGCAGGGCAGGGGAGGGGGGGAAGCAGGGAAGTGGAAGGGGGGGAAGCCAGGCAGTGGAAGGGGGGGAAGCAGGGCAGTGGAAGGGGGGGAAGCAGGGCAGTGGAAGGGGGGGCAAGCAGGGCAGTGGAAGGGGGGGAAGCCGGGCAGTGGAAGGGGGGAAGCAGGGCAGTGGGAGGGGGGGAAGCAGGGAAGTGGAAGGGGGGGAAGCAGGGCAGTGGAAGGGGGGAAGCAGGGAAGTGCAAGGGGTATGGATGGTAGGGAGGGGGGTTGGTCGTCTTGAATTGCCCCTTGGTGTCAATAGCTCCGGCCACTCCATTCCTCCCTGTATTTAACGAGACGGATCCTCCGCCCCCCAATCAGCACCCGCGTCCCCATCCACTTCCTGTCGTATCCTCATCCATCCCACCTCCTCTCCTCCTCCATCTCACTTGCAGGCCATCCAGGACCCACTCGGCAAGGCATCACGTGTGCAAGCTCCCATCACCCAACCCAAGCCCACCCATTCTTTCGAGCTGGTGGTTCTATAAGACCAGCCGCAAGCGGCCCATTCTGGCTTGGTAGGTCTCAGAGCCATAGACCTTGGGTTTGTAAAGCCCCCTAGATGATGTAAAGAGGCTAGTTGTATTAATAAATATCACCCTGTCGAGAGCATTGGAAGCATAACCTCCCCCGATGGATATAAGTATCACGCCTTGAAATGTTTTGTACCCCTT